AAAAAAAAAAAAAAAAAAGAAAAAATACCCCCCCACACAACTTTTCTTTTTAATGAGGTTTACAACCAGGAATGGGCTAGCAGTGTTTGTGGATACCTAGAAGTGTGAAAATTCACTGATGAGGAAGAATCTTTTATTAATTAAGATTTGGCTGGTAAAATTGGTTTTATATTCAAGTCCTCTCTCCTTCCCCATTTCATAGTATTTTCTTGGAGATAGAATTGTATTGATTAGTACACTCCTGGGCTGGATTGAATTCTTTTGTAAATCTTTTCACCTTTAAATTCCTCTGAATACATCCTCTGTGACTATATTAAAAACTCTGTCTTCTTGTCTTTCCTCTGCATCTCTCTGGGTATCCTGTTGAGGTGTCTGAGCTTTCTCAGAGACAACTGACCCAAAAAGAAGAGGAAAGGAGAGGCTCAGGGTCTGTTACTCGGCACAGCCTGGCTTAAAAAAAAGTATCAATTTGCTTTAAAAAGTACAATCTTTATCTCTCACAGAATTAAATGCTCCGTTCTCACTTAATTTTTTATTACAATAACGTATTATCTTAATATGTGCTCACTGGAAAAACTTCAGACCTTACAGATGTCTATAGAGTCCAGTGGAATAGTTGCCCTTCTCTGTCAGTCCCACTCTGGTCACGTTCCTTCTGCATGTGGACCCACTGACAATAGTTGGGTCCTTCCGGACCTTTGTCTATCACACCTGTTCACATGTAACTACATACACACACACTCACACATACACACACACACTTACTCTTACACACTCACACTTATGCACATACAGGTTCATACATATCATTTTTTAAATAAACACGGTCACACTGTTCTCTAGATTACAAATCACATTTTTTCCTTCCTAATGTATTCTGACACCTTTCCATGTCCGTTTATAGAATCTCTTTTCATCCATTCTGATGACACTCCTAATATTCCATAGTATGGATGTACCATGTTTATTTAACTACTCTCTAATTGGAGGCTGGACTCTTGGATATTTTACTGTCAGTACTGTTGTGAACATCTGGGCACCTGTAGTTTCAGTCATATTTGCAGATATTTCCTGGGCTGCTCTTAGTCTGGCCAATTTGTGAGTCAGGTGATAAGGGTAAAATGGTATTCTTCATGTTAAATCTACCCATAAACGTTTTGGTTAGCCAACACATTTTAGTGAATTAGTTGGCAACATTTAGAGACTGGGAAATTTCACGTAAAAATCTGGGCTCCCATCTTT